AGTGCGTCTGCAAACCCTGAAGACGTTCTGTTGACTGACTTTCAATTGCTGTGCGTGAAAGTCCCCCACCGCGGACCGTGCTCCGTAGTCAATGAGGCGGCGTAGCCTCAGACGCGGTCACATTCGACAGACGATTATTGTTCTGTCGTACAATTTTCAGCGAGACTACGACAGAACCAACTGTCGACAAGGAACCACAGAGCATTCTGTACGACACACCCACAACTGCACCAAGAATGCCCTCAATTTGCTATCGTAGGCCTGTCTTGCGACGAATTTGACCGGGTCCGTACCTGAAACAGGTTGGCTCTGTTCAAGACAGATGAATCTTTAATTGACAGTGTGTACCAACACCGACATAGGGTCCCTGTGTATACCGGACACTCGATGAATGAAGGCGGCTAAGAAAAGCTTTCGGCGCGCTTTCTTGAGACAGGCCTGCGTCACGGTTTGGCGTGCGGAAAAGCGCACGGCGTTCACTGCGTCCTCTCTTCCGTAACCTTGTTCCGACCATGTTGGTAACGGCTCATTGGGCGGGAGTGGAGACTGTCATGCCCAGGTATCCGTTTGGTCCCGCACACGGTAACTTTACTTACTTCTCCGTAAACTCCTTTACAGGAGCATGTATGCGTGCAGGCCAAGAACATGATCCTACGGACTCGCTATTGTTTCCGTGTCTGCACCCTTTTTCTCGTCCTTTTCACATTTTCTGAAGTACAGACAAGTAACAAGAAAGAAGGAGTGCCATTCATTCCTTGACCAAACGACTTTTGTGGTTTTTTTTTCTTAAATTCTAAACCTGTGACAGCGCCTATGAATAAAACGTATTTTTCACGAGGAAGATTGTAGTAACGGACATTTGTCTTGATTACGTCTTCAACTTTCTACGCCAGCTTTGATATCATTTCAATGTAAATCAATTATTATTTGGCCATTTTATTGATTTCTCATAACTTTGTGTCTGGATAGGAATCAGAAGCTCTGTTGGTAGTCAACGTTGAAGTAAAACAGGGGCCTGAAACAGCTTTCAATAATATATTTGTCAATCCCGTTGACAGAACGACTTGTTGTTATTTCAAACACGTCTGTACAAGCGTCATTGCGGTTTAGTCGCGCTGCAAAGCTATGTGTCAAACGACACGGTTCGAGGTGAGCTCACCACGGGTCAAAGGTGAGCTGCTTGGCGTGACGTCACCGGAGGTGTGCGAGTGGGGGAGGGGAGGAGAGAACAAATATGGCGAGGTCAGGGGAGGTCACGACAGAGTTCCAGCTATGTCATCGTTGCAAAACCTGTTATTATGTCTTGGAATAGACCACGTTTTGGAATAAAACACAACATGCATACCACTTCTTGTCATTCAAACTGAGGAAGACTAAAGTCACTGGTCGAAAGCTCTGGGGGAGAGAAATTCAATGTGTTGGATCGAAAGTTTTACCTTTAAAGATGTAGCTACCAACACAGATGAACCTTGATGATAGTATTCCAAAACATGTTTTGGAGTGTCCACGTTTTGGAAATTCCGAATACAGATGCATTCCACTTCATAGTATTTCGAATCATGTATTTGGAATGGAGCACCTTTTCCATCGGAATGCAACAACGTACTTGGCCCTGGTACTATATAGGGGGGACTACCAACGTCCGCAAGGTCATAGCGTAGACTTAGTTGAATCGGGGTCATGTCTGGAAATTACGTTATTAATCATATAGAGGTGATTATGAAACAGTTTGGTATAGCAGTTACAAAATAGTCGCTATTTTATCTATTTATTGATTTTGATAATAAGAAATCGCTGAAAATAGATATGAAAACAAGCAAACAATTAGATCACACCTGGCAAATTTGACCCAGTTCTAGATCTTTTGTTGCTTTATTTTCAGACAGGAAGAAACCATACATACAATGCGATTGTTTTTCTTTTTCAATCTAATTACATAAGGTGAACGGAGAGTGTTGTCTGTTAAAAGTACTCAACGGGAGACCAAAGACTACTATTGATTAAATAGCTGATCATTGTGAATTGAATAAAGAGGACAAACTTTCTAATGTGCTGATAAGAATCTAGACAACTAAACCTACTAAGGAGAAACTTCCGTCCCAAGACAACTCCCCTCCTGAGCAAAGAAACCGCTCCTTCTGTACCCAGTGTTCACGCTAAGTTAATGGCTACACTTGACGCAATGTCCCTTTGAAATTAATCTTAGTGTCACAATATAATAGTCTGTGTGAAACACAGAAAAGCACAGAGGAAATTAGATTTTGCACAGAATAAAGGCATGAGTGTCTGTTTGGGAACCTGAAGTTTTATCATAACAAGAAGACAATATGATTCGAAGTTGAATACAGGTAAGAGAGCAGTAGCATAAAATATGATTACACATACACAGCAAGTGTAATGATATCGCAAACAACGTAAGAGGTTTTAGCGTATACCAAAAAATTTAAGACAACACTTGCTAAGTTTAACTGCCGTGTTTATTTTCTTCCTTTGTCTAGATCTAGTTTGAGAGCTCGAGGATTTAGCCATGTTTATGTTCTTTCCTGGAACACAAACCATTTCTTTTGATACCGAAAGGGGTATAAAAGTGGAAAGGCACGAATGAATATTACCCAAATATCCTGTGTACTGAAAATAAAGCCCAACCTCCAATAGATTTTCCTAAGGCTAAAGACGCCCTTAAGAAACTCAAGGAGTGCTTCCTGTGACACAAGACTGCGCATGCTCGAGCTGTACCCTACACCAAACGGAAGCCGTCCTACCATGACGTCATCAACCAGCGCAGTTCACCACAATATGTGAGCCGACGCCTCGGTAGCACGTACGGCCCGCCGACTTGTACCGTACCTGGCGTCAAAACACGACACACCGTGTCATTCTCACCTGTAGCAACGGCACGTTCCGTCGCCCAGGTATTAGGCAAAATTTCCTTGGGCCAACCGATGCCAACCTGGGCGAAACATACACCCAGACTTGCAAAATAAGTCCGAAAACAATAGTACTACTACATACGCCATTGTGCTGCAGAATATGTAATATTAACATAATCGTAACATTTGTTTTATCAAAATGACTTATGGCTACTGTGTCGATGTAGCAGACACTGATTAATAACAACATAAGAGTTGTGAGAAGTTTCCCAACTGTTCGCTATACGTTTGCTTTATGATTTTACGGCTTTTCGAGGATCGCGACCCGCCTAGATTCCTGTGTTTATATCCTGTATATAACTGTGCGGCACATAGGTTTATATAGATATATTACGAGTCTCTAAAACCTTTCCAACACTATGTTTGCACATGTTATATTACATCAGATACACTAGAGTTTGCGAGATTGCAGATAGCCAAGCTCCTACGCGGTCGCCCGGTTTGACAGTAATATCTAAGAATTCCAGTGTGTTACCCAGCACTCTTAAGTGTCTCTATAGCGTTGAATAAATAAACTCCACCGTGTGACAATCTTCCGCAAGGTGGCACATACCTGCATGCATAACGACGGTTAGCAATAAACCAAACCCGTCAAGACGATTTTTCTAATCCCGAAGACATCAAAACTACTTAAGACACCAATTGACTCTACTGTCTACCTGTGATTACTTAGTAAACACCTGCAGTAAAAGTGGTGGCGTTGTTGTATAAGATCAGAGATACAGTCTACTCTATCTGGCACTCTTGAAATGTCTGTCAATTTTATTCGTATTTGTTTATGGATTAACCGTCTACGACCAATGAAATGTGTATTATTTACTGTAGTCTTACCACTGGATGCTACGACCTTGACTTTTACACATAAGAATGGCATGTTTACAAAAGGTGCAGAATGCAATCTTTTTCGCGTGTTTAAACATAATATATTTAGCTTTGCACTTTCACTACCGTGGGTGGAGAATTAGTCTTAAAGGTAAATGTCAGTCTAAGTTCAGTTGGAAAGGTTTAGAATTTGTTTCGCGATGCTGTGCTTACTGTATTTTTTGCGGGCTCTTGGCTGTTTTCCCATTGAGAGAGAGGCGGTTACAAGCAGGTGTGTTGAAACAGGTTCACCTCTGCCCCTCCCGGGGACGATTGTGTGTCGGATCGACCGCTCTGGAGGGCCGCTCGGCGCTAAGTGGGGGTTAATTAACTTTGTTTCTGACAGTGACGCAACGATGGCAAGTTCAAATAGCTGTATGGTGTGGCAGCGGTGATTGGTCGGTGGCGACGCGTCACGCAGGTTGCCCCACATTGTGTGCTGACACATGACTATGCATGTCGCGGCGCAGTGGCGGTAGTCTTTGACGTCCGCGGGACACACTCTCCGCAATTTACCCAAGCACGTCGCACCGGTAGGCCCTCCCGCTGCCGTCAGCTCGGCAGGAGTCCCGCGCCGACAACCTGCCCGCGCCGGTAAGGACGTCTCGCCCGCCCCGCCGCCAACCACTTGTTACCGCCGTGCCACCAGGGGAAGACACGCAGAGAGGGGTCGAGTGAATTCCCGCCTAATTATCGCCTGATATGGTTACAAACACCGCTTGATCTCTGCCACTGATATACGCCCACAACAGTGCCCCGGCCGGTGGCGATGTTACAGGTGGAACCGGCCGTGTTGTGAGGGAGAGAGACGGGAGGAAACGTGCCCGGGCCCGCAGACGACACCTTGCCGGGGCGCCGCCATTACAAGCGGCACACAGTACATACACAAGGTGAGTACACTTGGTGTTCACCTATGTGAACTGGACTTTGACACCAGGCTTTGTAGGGTGGTTGCTTGGAAACTTTTAACGTCAGTACCTCCTTGGCCTTAATCCTCCCGACGTCTTGAAGGAATACTTAAGATCAGGACTTGTCAGGTGAATATATGGACCTCATTTTTTTCTGGAGTTGGAAAGCGGAAGGGGGGATTTTTTGGAGGAAGGACAGAGTACACATACACACACACACACCAGGGCACCTGACGTCAGTAGGCCTGGCGGCAGACACAATAGGCGGGTTGAAGTCGTGGCACGTATCATCACTCATCCGGTAATAGCGCCGAGTAAAACAACAACTCGCATTCAAGTCCGAGTCTAGCCTTACAGGCCGTGGCCCTACGTTTGGTAGAACACCCTCTCAGCAGACCCCGTGGCCAGCCCGGCCACAACATTGTCCGGCCCCCTCGCCCCCATTCAAACCCGTAACCGTACCCCGCCGTGTTTCCGCTCCCGGGAGTCAGGTTTCCAGCCGATTAAATTTATTTTCTCCGCATATATTCCGGCGGCCCCTTCACTTTCACCTATAACTCACCCCGCTTCTCCAAATTGAAAAGTTTATTGAGTTTGGCGCCAAGCACAAAAGTCGCCCTGTTATCATGAGTCGCGACTCAGAAAGACTTTTAAATAATAGGATTGATTTTTTTGTCTGGGGGAGAGAACAACAGGCGCTGGTTTGTGCTTACGCCGCCGTATCGTTTTCAGGCCGAACAAGTGTCCAGTGTGCCATTGTTGACAGCATGCTCCGCGGGTTAGGGGCACTCCACTGTCCCGCGCATGCTCTCTGTGTCCCTGTGAAGCAGGTGAGACGAGGGGAGGGAAGGGGGAGGGGCAACAACAAGTCTGTACAACACCAGGCAGCAAAACTGGTCTGCGGCGGGGGCCGCTCGACTCTACCGGCAACACCACGCCCTGGTGACTCCCTCTAGCCGTCCCGTTGCTACGGGTGAGCCGTAGGGACTGAGTTTGCCACCCGTAGAGAGCATGTATGTCGTGCGACAGGTATTTCACGTTGCCCGTCCGAATGGGAGGTTGTGTACAGACGACGCGAAGCCGCTTCGCCTGCTCTTGTTTTAACAGCTGAAAACTTCTGCACGGAACTCCTAAACCTACGCAACAATAGACATCCCTGGTATGTATGTTTACTGTTGTTGGCGAACCAGTTCTGGTCTAACCGAGCGCCGCTGTGCTCGTTTATCATAGCATAGGACTAACTCATGCTTGTGTAGACAACCAAGCGTAATTCAGTCGGACCAAACCAATAACCAGCGCGGGTCGGCTGACCCCGACCAGAAGTCGTCCACAGGTCACGACAACATTTGTTTTACCTGTCGTCCGGCTCTTGTTCAAACCAGAACGGAAGCCGAGCAGAAGTAGGTCAACTAATGATGATGCGAATGTTGAATCAAGAAACCCAATCCAGTTATAGTGAAAGTAATTGTGACATTTTTTTAAATCATAACATGTAGCTAATCAACACCGTAAACAGATACTTCTGGTTCAATTTTTTTACCACGGCACAGGTGCGTTTAACGGTATATAACACTCCAACAGGTGCCACTAGCACTACGAAATGCTCCTGCAACGTTTCAAATTTATCAAAGGGGGATGTAATATCAATATACGCCAATATCCCAATATCATACCGATAGAAAGAATGTTAAAAGCTACGTGTTACGTTACGTCACGGTGGCGCAATGTCAATACATCGCGCGTGTATTTTTCGGTCACCCTACCGGCACAACGTTTCAACTCAACGCGTGGAGGACACGTTCTAATAATAACATGTACATCACCAAGTTACATGTGGACTATAACAAATGACTTTAGTCTTTTCACCAGTTTTACAGTGTTGGGGCGAACCATGTATTCAATTACTAAACGTTTTCTGGGTGCACAGCTCGACAACATAAACAACATTATATTAGATCATGCTCTTCCACACTGTTATGACTCTTTTGTAGTCAAGTCATGTGTCTCAAAACAGTCGGTTTACTTAGCGGAAACATAAGCAGTCAAGCAAGACCGGCGTTGTGAGCCTGACGGGGCCCGTCACAGCGGCTTCCGATTGTAAGGTTTCTTTCTTCAGTGAAAGTTTGCGGTGCTGTACAAATTGGGGATCGAGGGAATTTGTCGCCGTTGAGTGGTATACAGAGCGGGGTATTTTAGGTAAATATGGCGGGTGTTTTGTGTGCTTTTCACACCCGGAGTCCTTCCAATCGGCCCGCCGCCTTCTCCGGTATATCTTACACGCACCTGTTCTGCACAATGGAGGGTGGGTGGGCGGGGGGCGTCTCACAACAACGTGTTTATTTTTGCCCAACGAAGTTTGTTTCTTCAGTGTGCATCTTGAGATATTTCCGACGCATCATGCATACCTTGCTGATCCTATGCGAAAGGCCCAGGCGACAGAGTGGACATTTTTGTTCAGTTTTTGTATCTTTTTTTTTTTGCTTTGAAAAAGCGCAACGTGTTTAAGTTTGTACAAATGAAGTTAGCTCCTTCAGAGTACATCGTAAGATATTTCGAAACGCACTATATTAGGTTGACCTGATGCTAACGACCATAGTTCTCAACATATGGAAGATTTTGTACAGCAGCAAACTTTGCATAACCCTGACTTAATTTCACACTAGTGTTAGTGGCATTGTACTTGTTTTGAATCTGTTGTTGTCGTTGTTGTGGAAATAGTACTTAAATGGCTACACCTTGTAAATCTTACACGTCAGACGATAAAGCTAATTGCTTCTTGAATGACTAGAGGGGGGGTCCGATTATGACATGTACCTTGGCTATATTGGGTGTGCAATTTTCACATTTGAAGAGCCTAGAATTAACACTTATACTTTTTTTATTGTGGCCGGTTTAATGCTTACCAAAAGATACGGTGTACGTTTAGAGCAACTTCACTATTAAGTTCACACCCGGGACAAAGCCCCGCTTCACTGAAGCGTGCGTCACGTATTTAATTAGCCGTTTTAAGTGCTTCAGACTCCCTTTCCGAGCAGTCAAGTTGGTGATAAAGCTGTTGTTATCTGCGGGTTCGTGAGCCCTTTCCTCTTCTCTTGGCATTTCGCTTTGTTACTTGACAGTTTATCGATACCTAATATATGATTAATCGAGCGGGGAATCGGTGGGACTGCGGTATACTTTATACAGGAACGTTAAACAACATTTACCCATCAGATAAAGTACAATTCGTGTAGAGGATCAAACGTGTTCAAGTGCCTTTGAATGGTGTTGACAGAAAATTTCAAGTTGTTTTATCTTTTTCGCTCAGCCAAAGTTTCAAGATATAAAACGCATTGGCCTAATCACCGACAATGAGTCATATTGTTACTACTTGTGCGGTAATAATCATTTGTTTAGGAGACCACCAGAACCTTTGAAGCCATCCCCCGTGCTTGTAACAAGAAGCTAAGTGTTGGGAGGAAGAAGCCCCTTCTTCGCTTTCCTCATCAAGTTGTGTTCTATCATTCATTCTTGGTAGAGCACATCGATATTTTGATAAGGAGGACACAAAGAGGCCTGGCGGCTATGCCTATGTACTGACTGCACCACGACACGAGAAGCTTATCTAAGTGGCAGGTAGCAGGGATGGTTGTGTTCCATAGCAGGCTCTGAGGCTTTCACATCATCGTTTTTGCTGACCATGTACTGTTGTCTGACTGTCACCAAGTTCTGGTGGCAGTCCTGGTTTGATGCTTGAATGCTGGCAGGCACCGAGAGAAGCTTATCCAAGTGACAAGTAGCAAGGGTGGTTGTTGTCTCCATAGCAGGCTACATAGCTGGGGCTTTAACATTGCCGTCTTTTTTCTTCTTATGCTTTCTGACTGTCACCAAGCCCTGGCGTTTTCTACAACTTTGTCGGTCGCACGCGCAGAACATGAAGACCGTACGTAATGAGAACATAAACATTAGAAGGCCCGTCGAGAAGCCTGTTTGTGGAGGCTACGTGACCAAACAAAAACGGATAGCGAAACAAAGGCAGATTACGCAGGAGGGTTGCAAATCCGATCGCGATCTAAGAAGACATCTTGAGGATTAGCTGGTTCTTTTGTTTGTCGTGTTTTGTTCCGCGTCAAAATCCGATCTCAACCCCGACAGACTGATCGTGCCCACGATATGTCACAAACACAATGTATATAGAAATCCAAAAGGGGAAGTTTGCTTTTCGTTGCGAAATATTGAAACTATTTTCACTTCCTCATTTTCTCGTTGCCATGTGTGTTTTATCAAGTGTATGAATGAGTTTTCATAAATTCCATGTCGTCTATGGCTCGTATTTATCGTTTTAACGTCGAAATTCAAAGATATGTTTTTCATTCAACCCCGACTCTTCCATGGGCAAAGTACAAAAAAAATCTCAAAAAGACGTGTGAAGATGTTCTATGCTAGCTTAAATATCAATGTCATTCGTAGCGATGGGAAGATGACAGACTCGAGAAGGAATTTGACCGGTTTCGACTTTAATTCAGTCTTTATCAAGAATCTTAAAAGAAGCTTAAATATCAATGGTTAGATACGGCAGATGGTTGTAGCTTCTTGAACTATTTGCGGGTCTTAATAATCGATATCCACAGTCTCTTCACGTTTTGTTATTTATCAGCCTATTGAAAACCACTTCTATGGAACCATCTTGTAACATCGTGGAAGCACGTAACTACGTAAATAATTGCCGAGTGATGTGGCAGCGAGCGGAACTTAGTCTTAAGGCAGGTTCCGCCGCAGGTTTTTAATGCTTACCGTTCTTTTCTGGTTGTGTATTACGTTTTCATTACTGTTGCTTTCTGGATACCAAAAATGCTGTCAAAATGGAGCCATCGGAATATGGGACTAAAAAATGGCAATATCAAAACATCATCTGTGAAGTCTGTTATTTTGGCTAGCGGAACCTCTCTGTACACGACCTCGCAGAAAACAATGGCGGACGCTCAAGTAGCCCATAATACTCG